TAATATGTATTAGTGGAGAATATTATATTCTTTATCAATCAGACGATTTCATCTACATTATGGAATCAAGCGTTGGTGGGGAAATTCGATCAGTCTGCTATTATTCATCATGGTGGCAAGAAGTGGACAGTCCGGGTAAAGAAGAAAAGGGAACAATCACATATTCACCAGAATGAAGCCTTTCATAGATGATGCTGATATAGATTAAGGATGCATTCTGAATTTTAGGAACGTACATTGCAATGATCTGGTCTTTGATGATGATGTCCTAATAATTACATTTTTCTTGTGACACATGAACATTTCGGTAAGGCTTTTTGATTGTCGACGAAACCGGTCCGGTTTGAGATAAAAAAGAAAACCGCTAGGGCCCAAAACTTCTTGAGAACCTATTGGACCAGTTAAAAACCGCTAAACCCGTTAAACCGGTGGCGATCCAGATGGCCCAGCGGTCCAGTTGTGGACTTTGTATAGGGTTGGTTTTGAAATCACTTAAATACCTGAATTTTCTTCTTTGTCTCCCCAATGTGGGATGAAAACAAATGAAGGATTGACCAAATTATTGGGCCTAGCTGAAAATCTAAAAGGGTGAAAGGCTATTGTCTATTGGGCTCAGCGTGAAAGTGATCATTCCATATTGAACCTTTGTAAAAGTACCATAACACTTCGATATCAACGTACACCAATTGACCTACACAAATGCTCGGCAATACATTTTTCAAATATTAAACCAGACTGCATTAGTAATTAAACTCTGTTTAGGGTGCATTATTTCAAATGAGCATTCGTATTATATGCATAGGTGTAGGATTCATTGTCGTTCAACAGGCAAAGACTATAAAATGGATACAATGGGATTATTCAACACATCCTGGCTTTCATCATGGCTAGCACTGCCAAAACGGGCCATGGCCCACGGGCTGGCCCGTCCGTCCGCCTAAATGGACGGGCTTGGGCCTTTGCTTGGCCAGCCCGTTCAATCGTGGGCCTATTTGGCCCGCCCCGCCGTCCAACCCGTTTTTTTATTTTGTTGGATTTTGTCTTTATCATCTTTTTTTCTTCTTCTTCTTCCATATTTATTTATTTTATATTTTTTAAAATTTAGCAATGATATTAAGATTTGTGAATGCACAAGAAACACTTTTTTACATAATAAAAATATTAATGAATCAAATAATATTTTATGTGAATTAAGTCTTTCCTCCGCGTGAATACCCTATAACTATTCATAAAAAAATAAAAATAAAAATTGGATGTCAAATATTTAACATCATTACACATGAAACCTTAATAGTTTATTAATATACTAGTAAATATAAGAATAAACAAACCAAAAAGAATATAAGAGTGCATAATACCAAAAAACCCGCGGGCGGGCCGATTTGGCCCGCGGGCTAATGAGGGTGGGCCATGGGCCATGGATTTCCCAGCCCGTAGAAATGCGGGCCATTTTGGGCCGCCTCGTTTGAACCGCGGGCCAGCGCTGGCCGGAGCGGACCGGCCCGTTTGACACTGCTAATCATGGCGTCAAGTAGGCTCTCAAATCCTTATACAACATCAACAAACAAGATTATATCACGATTGAGTAAAGCACATTTAGGAATAAAAAACACAGTTGTCATCCTCAGTCAGACATTTCGTCGGGCATATAAAATGCTTTTTTAATAATAGCACAAATACAACAATGGAATCTCTTAAATAAACCGCACCCTTACATCAAATAATTTCTCGTCAAAATAATTTGTAGAACAAGGAAGGAAACGCAACAATCATATTTTGAAAATATATATGAATATTATTAATGAATATATCATGTAAATACATGCAAGACAAAATGCGATTGAATTCAAAATACTTACCTTTATTTATCGGTTTGAAACAACTAAAAACAAAAATCACAATCAATGAATGGATAATGGAGATTCAATATTTCTTCAATACGTTATAAGTCATGAATATGATTTCAGAAGTGATTGAGATTATTATACCAAAAAAAATGCGGACAATGGAAAAGAAAATATGAAGAAGAAGCAAACCCAATAAGACTGACCTCCAGAAAAGATGAAGAGCGATTCATCAAATTCATCTTAAATTCGGTTCTCTTCGAATCATGATTGATATCGAATAAAGAAGAATTCAAAGGATAATTTTCACAACGAAAGGGAGAAAATATGAAGATGATTGATCGTATTCAATACAAATACAATTTAGTAAGAATTTGTGGCTTAATTAGAATATGTAAATGTGTTTTGATAAAATAATAATATAAGAATAATTAAACACCTTCTACATAAATATATTTTTAGTTAAATAATATATTTTATAATTTATTTTAAGTAAGGGTAGTTTAGTATTTACACAAGAAATCTTTCAAATTTTTATTTATTTAGTTAAGAATTAGGACACATGTCATCAATTTAAGGACTACCTGTAGGTACGAGGTAAGTACAAGGCGTACCTGACTGTAGAATGATCCATGACACTTTTATAACTTTTATAAATAATAATAATAATAATAATGATGATAATAATAATAATAATAATAATAATAATAATAATAATAATAATAAT